GACCTGTAGGCCAAAGAAATGTTCATTAGCACATCAAGTTCTATTCAGTTTACCGGTAAACATATCACGAATGTACAACAGGTCAATTATTAATCATCTTGGCTACGTAGCTCAATCTATGCATTCCAGTAGCGTTTGCTACAAACAAATACAAAAACAACAATAAAGGAAAACAACTGTCTGACAAACAGCATAGCCGAATTCAAGGCAACACATAACAATAATCATTCGATTGCTCTTGGTTTCAAGTTAAGCCCATTAAAGTGCTTAAGTAAATAAAAGTGTTTATAAACAGCGTTTTTGAACCGGAGTTCTGCTCGCGGTGGGAACTCTGCCGAACAAGGTCATTTTTTATAGCGAAAACGATCGACTGGTCACTGACAAGTAAAAGGGTGTTATTGGTAGATGTTAAGAACACTTACCGCTGAGGTAAAATGAGAGTATAAATAAACTGAGGGGAGAAAAACGCTTTGTTTTCCAACGCCGTTCTACAAGCAACAAGCTTACAGCCACGGCAGGAGCAGCTTTCATGGTTGCCGCGACGTGGAAGGAGCCAATCAGGAGAGGGACCTCACATCAGCTGACGTGGGTCATGTGACCGGGAGTAGTTGATATGGGTTACACTTTGTTGTGCTTTTATTACAGAAATATTATTATTATCATCACTATTATTATTAAGAACATGCGATTTCTATGTTTTGTTTATGTATTGGTTGATGCTAAAAAATATATATTTTTTAGAAAAAAAAAAAAAAAAAAAAAAAGGAAAGGAAATTAAATGCCGCCCCCTGCAGACTGCCGCCCTGTTCGGCCGCACATGTTGCACATATCAAGCTCCGCCACTGGCTGCCAGTCTGTTTTTGAATTCAGACGTTTTAAAGCTTTAACCTGTTCCTTCAAATGGTGGGGTTCCGTGATTGGTGTTTGATTTGACTCAACTTTATTCATGTAGCACCTTACACACACAAACATGCCACTGAAGTGCTACATACACAACAACAACACAAGCATCCAGGTAAATATAGAACAATACAAGTAAGAGACAAGAATGTAAAAGCGACTGTCGTAACCCCACAGAGGTACAAGCCCGATCATAAAAATGGGTCTTCAGCTTGACCTGGGAACCGAGAGCCATGACAGGTCTTCAGAACGAGGAGCCAGGAGGGAACAGCCAGGTATGCTGGAGCCAAACCATTCAACCATTTAAAAATGTGTCATGGTCTGCGTCTCCCCTCATGTGTCTCCTTGTGTTCTCCATTCATCTCTAGGTTCTCCTGTTGTGTATCCTAGCGCCTTCTTGTGTCATTGTCTTCGTCTTCCTCGTTTTCCCAGAGCTGCAGCCCCTCTAGGTTTCCTTCCCCCCCAGGTATCTCCCTCCAGGTCCTGTGCTCCCTGTGGTCCTCCTTAGTCACGCCCCTGTAGTTTCTCTTTCTGTGTTCCCAGATCTACAGCCCTCCAGATATCTCTCCCAGGTCCTGTGTTCCTTCAGTCTTCCCCAGTCACCCCTCTGCAGTTTTGATAGTTTCAGCTTTTCATTTTTTTAGTCTCTTCAGTGTGTTGTTCCCACCGGTGTTTGGAGTTTTCCTTCCCCTTAGAATATAAGTTATGTTTGCTGCTCTTCCTGTCTTTAGGTTTTACTCTTAGGTCAGTTTAGTTTCCTCCCTGATTAGTTAATTGCTTTCACCTGGTTCTCTTCCCACACACCTGCCAGCTAGAGATGGGTACCTTTGACATTTGAATTGATCCGGTACTAATTCCCGGTACCTAGGAATCGATACCGGTACTTAACTGTACCAATTTTCGATACTTTTGCACCGGATGGTGGACCAGAATGTCCAGAATGTGAAAGCCGTACGGAAGTCTTGCTCCATGATCTCACAGAACTCCTCCCATGCCCGGTTTTTGCCTTGGCGACCACCCGAGCTGCGTTCCGCTTGGACTGCCGGTACCCGTCAGCTGCCTCTGGAGTCCCACAGGCCAAAAAGACCTGATAGGACTCTTTCTTCAGCTTGACAGCATCCCTAACTGCCGGTGTCCACCAGCGGGTTCGGGGGTTGCCACCACGACAGGTACCGATGATCCTGCGACCACAGCTCCGGTCAGCCGCCTCAAAAATTGAGGCACGGAACAGGGTCCATTCATACTCAATGTCCCCCGCCTCCCCGGAACATTTTTGGAAGTTCTGTCGGAGGTGGGAATTGAAGATCCTTCTGACAGGAGACTCTGCCAGACGTTCCCAGCAGACCCTCGCGATACTTTTGGGCCCCGCCTGGTTTGACCGACATCCTCCCCCACCATCTGAGCCAACTCACCACCAGGTAGTGGTCAGTTGACAGCTCCGCCCCTCTCTTCACCCGAGTGTCCAAGACATGCGGCCGCAGGTCAGAAGAAACAACAACAAAGTCGATCATCGAGCTGCGGCCTAAGGTATCCTGGTGCCTAGAGCACACATGGACACCTTTATGTCTGAACATGGTGTTCATTATGTACAATCCATGACTGGAACAGAAGTCCAATAACAAAAAAAAAAACACTCGAATTCAGATCGGGGGGCCGTTCCTCCCAACCACACCTCTCCAGGTCTCACTGTCGTTGCCCACGTGAGCGTTAAAGTCCCCCAGCAGAACGAGGGAGTCACCGGAAGGAGCGCTCTCCAGCACCCCCTCCAAGGTCTCCAAAAAGGGCGGGTAGTCTGGACTGTAGTTTGGTGCATAAGCACAGACCACAGTCAGAAGATTTGATTTTCATGCTATCTAGGAGCGCACAGCGTCCCCCGAAGTGGGCTCGACTCTGTACGTACTTGCGTGCCTGCCGGAGCTAATGGCGTTGCGTGTCTCTGCACTGACGCAGACGGAGACGCATACATCAGGCTTAAGTCGAGAGGCCCAGACTTCCCTCTCCCCAGCCACTTGAGCCAGCTCCTCCGGGGAAATCCCAAGGGGTTCCCCGGCCAGGTCCGGTAAGAAGTCCGCTCCGACAGCTTCTGGCGTTTTTAAAAAGTATCCCAGGGGCACGGTAAGGGTCGGAGATGTTTAGTCATTTAATTTCTGACTATATAAAACGATTTCTTCGGTTTTAAAGTGTGAAGTAAACTCCGACGAAGTCAAATCCAAGCCGATCCCGTTCATGTTCATGTTTAAGATCCGTGTTTGTTTACCTTTTTTTTCTGCCAATATGGCGCCTACTCTCTGAGAGTCACGTGGGGTCCGGAGCTCGATGGTCGTTTTTATGCAGCCTACGGCTACAACAGCTGGTGCACTATTGAAAACAGATCACTTGGGGCTTTTCTTGCCTACTTGTTGGGATTTTATATTTTAATTTCTTCTATTTATTTCATGTAAATATATTTATAATTTTACCTATCATGCCATACTAAACGTCTGATTTAGAGAAAAAGTAGAATGTGTTTTTAGCTGAGTCAACACCTTCCTCAGTAGACATGAATGCACTGGGGGCAAATGGAGTCTCATCCAAGATGGCGGCCGGCCACTGCGGCAACTCCACTAGACAGCGCCACTCCACGGGGCGTCTACGTGCATGGCGTCTGTGTGCAGCACTGGATGATGGTCAGAAGTACGTGCAGCTAAATGTCCTGGTAGCCCCGTGGCACCGCAGGAGTGGTTCCTCTCATTTCTCGGCATGTAAAATGGTCTGTATTTGATATAGAGCCTTCTAGAGTCCTGGAACCCCCCAAGGCGCTTTACAACACAATCAGTCATTCACCCATTCACACACTGGTGGGGATGAGCTACGATGTAGCCACAGCTGCCCTGGGGCGCACTGACGGAGGCGAGGCTGCCGAGCACTGGCGCCACCGGCCCCTCCGACCACCACCAGCAGGCAACGTGGGTTAGGTGTCTTGCCCAAGGACACAACGATAGTGACACACTGAGTGGGGCTCGAACCTGCAACCTTCCGATTGTAGGGCGAGCGCTTAACTCCTGTGCCACCGTCGCCCCTGTATGTAGGAATTATGTAGGACTAATTACGTGTGATCCACGAGAAGAATAAACCTTCTCGTCTCCCACAGATTGAACAGTAACGTTTCAACTCTCATCTTTCATTTTTCACAAACCAAACTGCTGCCTGTTTGGAAACGAGGCCCAGTCCACAGGATCTGTGCTTCTCGCCCTGTGAGCTCTGCTGATTATTGATAGCTTCTATGGTTCATCAGGGGATTTAAGGCTCAGCATCTCCACCATCACCCCCTCGTGTCCGGACCAGCAGTCAGATTAGTGTCTGAGCGCCAAAAACAAGCCTAACAGATTTGCTCCCACAGGCAGAGTGGCACAGCTTCTGCTGAGGCGCTTCAGCCCGTACAAAACCTTTGGTTTCATTTGAATCCTAACAGACACTTGAGCTCCCAGTTGGGCGACGCTGTAAAGCACGACCCCTCGTTGGTGAGCCCCCTTGGTTTAGTGACTGAACACCTAAACCACCTCTCCTTGCATCCCTCTTCTCACTGGGAGCAGCCTCCTACCATATCTAACACTGTTTGTGTGGACAGGTCATTCTGCATCGAGAGGAAGAACGTTGCAGCTCATGACGGAGAGCACGTCTCCAGCAGTTCTTGAGTCTTCTACCTGAGCAGGTGGCTATTTTTCATTCACGCAGGTATCGGGACATTCTGCCCTACAGTCGAGTCCCGCGGTGGGATGATGTCAACCTTTTTAGGTTCATGATCTCGTTATGCCTTCAGGAGAACCTGAGGAACCATTCCCTGGATCTCATCCCTTGTGTTTTGCTGCAACACTTTTCTGATTATTTCATCTGAAGAAAGAACATATAGAGCCAGCCTTTTAGGGGTGTGTGTGTGTGTGTGTGTGTGTGTGTGTGTGTGTGTGTGTGTGAGAGAGAGAGAGAGAGAGAGAGAGAGAGAGAGAGAGAGAGAGAGAGAGAGAGAGAGAGAGAGAGAGAGAGAGAGAGAGAGAGAGAGAGAGAGAGAGAGAGAGAGAGAGAGAGAGAGAGAGAGAGAGAGAGAGAGAGAGAGAGAGATGGGAAACGCTACACCTTGTGTGCTGCCATGAGGCCCTAAAAGGTGCCAGGCGGCTCTGGATGGACGGGTGGAGAGAGAAGAGAGGAGAAGATGATCTCTGCAGGCCTCTTTAACCACAACGAGCTCTAGTCCTACAGGTGTGTGTGTTTTTGTTTCAAAGGTTCAATGAGTTAAGGGAGCAACTCTCCACAAGTGTTTCTATCATTTATTTAAACCTGAAGTGAGTTCTGGTTCTTGTCGACGGAAGAAACAGAAAACGTGTGTGTGTGTGTGTGTGTGTGTGTGTGTGTGTGTGTGTGTGTGTGTGTGTGTGTGTGTGTGAAACGACGTTTGGATGAAGATTCAAACAAACAAATGAAACACTAACCTACAGACATAGATTTTTATTATAAGATCGTTATGGAGAAATCAGCAGCAAAGGTTACATAAGGAGTCAGAAATGTATGGAGAGCAAACTGGTCAAATAATAAAGTTTAAACGTTAGTTTTAAATGAGGTAAATACAATTTTTTTCTTTTTCGTGTTCTTGGAGGTCCTGATCCAACCGGACCCGGTCCACAGGTGCAGATCTTCCCACCGTTAGAACAAACCTTTACCTGAATCAGCATCGGACCGAAAACAGACGACGTGTTGGTGTTTAGATGTCTGACCTCACCAAACACACACACTTCTCCAGCTGACCTTCCTCTGACAGTGAGGTAAATATGAGCTGATAAACAAAAACATCAACACTTTACGTGGTAATGCTTGACTGTAGATGTTTTTATGTGTGGTGTGCCTCCACGCCTGACTCATCAACAACATAACTTCTACAGCGGACCTCTCGTGTCTCCACAGCCACTCTAGCCAACACAAGCAGAAGCTCACAGAACCCACCACCCTCCCTCTGGGGGAGTCCTCCAGCTGACCAACAGCAATCTGACGTGTGGTGACGTCAGGCTTGTTGTCACTGGTCAGAACCGGACTGGGTCGTTCTGGTCGTTCTGGTCGCGGTTGTGTCCCTGTTGTTGTTTATGTCAGAAGACAACGGTCAAAGGGAAGCTGACATCTGTGACGCCTTCAAAAGAAACAAGAATGTTTGTTAGAAAATGTGAATTTTTCTTTTAATAAAACATTTTTGTTATTTCCTCGTGTTGAAAAAAACTTTTATTCAGCCACCAGAACCTCACTGTTCACTAGGCCCGCATCTGCCAACAGAAAAATACACCTGGCGGTTCTGATGGTGGTTCTGATGGCGGTTCCGATGGCGGTTCTGATAGTGGTTCTGATGGCGGTTCTGATGGTGGTTCTGATGGTGGTTCTGATGGCGGTTCCGATGGCGGTTCTGATAGTGGTTCTGATGGTGGTTCTGATGGTGGTTCTGATGGCGGTTCCGATGGCGGTTCTGATAGTGGTTCCGATGGCGGTTCTGATGGCGGTTCCGATGGCGGTTCTGATGGCGGTTCCGATGGTAGTTCTGATGGCGGTTCTGATGGCGGTTCTGATGGTGGTTCTGATGGTGGTTCTGATGGCGGTTCCGATGGCGGTTCTGATGGCGGTTCCGATGGTAGTTCTGATGGCGGTTCTGATGGCGGTTCTGATGGTGGTTCTGATGGTGGTTCTGATGGTGGTTCAAGTTCTGATGGTGGTTCTGATGGCGGTTCAGGTTCTAATGGTGGTTCTGATGGTGGTTCAGGTTCTGATGGTGGTTCTGATGGTGGTTCTGATGGTGGTTCAAGTTCTGATGGTGGTTCTGATGGCGGTTCATGTTCTAATGGTGGTTCTGATGGTGGTTCAGGTTCTAATGGTGGTTCTGATGGTGGTTCAGGTTCTGATGGTGGTTCTGATGGTGATTCTGATGGCGGTTCAGGTTCTGATGGTGGTTCTGATGGTGATTCTGATGGCGGTTCAGGTTCTAATGGTGGTTCTGATGGTGGTTCAGGTTCTGATGGTGGTTCTGATGGCGGTTCAGGTTCTAATGGTGGTTCTGATGGTTGTTCAAGTTCTGATGGTGGTTCTGATGGCGGTTCAGGTTCTAATGGTGGTTCTGATGGTGGTTCAGGTTCTGATGGTGGTTCTGATGGCGGTTCAGGTTCTAATGGTGGTTCTGATGGTGGTTCAGGTTCTGATGGTGGTTCTGATGGTGATTCTGATGGTGGTTCAGGTTCTAATGGTGGTTCTGATTGTGGTTCAGGTTCTGATGGTGGTTCTGATAGTAGTTCAGGTTCTGATGGTGGTTCTGATGGTGGTTCTGATAGTGGTTCTGATGGTGGTTCTGATAGTGGTTCTGATGGTGGTTCTGATAGTGGTTCTGATGGTGGTTCTGACGGTGGTTCTGATAGTAGTTCAGGTTCTGATGGTGGTTCTGATGGTGGTTCTGATAGTAGTTCTGATGGTGGTTCTGATGGTGGTTCTGATAGTGGTTCTGACGGTGGTTCTAATGGTGGTTCTGATGGTGGTTCAGGTTCTGATGGTGGTTCCAATGGCGGTTCCGATGGCGTTCTGATGGCGGTTCCGATAGGTGGTTCCGATGGCGGTTCTGATGGTAGTTCTGATGGTGGTTCTGATGGTGGTTCTGATGACGGTTCATGTTCTAATGGTGGTTCTGATGGTGGTTCAGGTTCTGATGGTGGTTCTGATGGTGGTTCTGATAGTAGTTCTGATGGTGGTTCTGATAGTAGTTCAGGTTCTAATGGTGGTTCTGATGGTGGTTCTGATAGTAGTTCTGATGGTGGTTCTGATGGTGGTTCTGATAGTAGTTCTGATGGCGGTTCAGGTTCTGATGGTGGTTCAGGTTCTAATGGTGGTTCTGATAGTAGTTCTGATGGTGGTTCTGATAGTAGTTCTGATGGTGGTTCTGATGGTGGTTCTGATAGTAGTTCTGATGGTGGTTCTGATGGTGGTTCAGGTTCTGATGCCCTAGGAATGAGGCGGGGTGTCCTGCGGGTCACGTGTCTGCCCTTCACCAGAACCCAGACAGCGCCTCTCCTGCTCCGGCTCCTGCGCTGCGGAAGTTGGGTTTGCCCGCGTTAATGGCTCGCGTGCTGCTCGTGTGGTCAGACAGCAGAGGCCTAGGATGAGCTCCGGCGGACTGTGACCCGTAACTGGCACGCGCTGAACTCCAGAGCAGCTCACGGCTCCGGTTACCGGACCGCTGCTCGTTCATAAAAACCCAGAAAAACAAAAGTTTCCACGTTTCTGTTAAAACCAGAATTCTGACTTTATTAGACGTTTGTAGTTGGACCCCAATAACTCCTCCACAGGAGGCCAAACGGACCGAGCTCATGGAGTTTCCGGCTCGGTTCAGTCCAGCCTGGTCTGGACCCACCCGCTGGTTTATCTAACGGGACTTCTGTTTCTCGTTTTGTGTCAGCAGCCGGGCCAGACCCGCTGATAAACGAGCGACTTTTACCGACGGAGGAATTCCTGATTTATGTGGGAACTGAACCCAGACACACACACACACACACACACACACACGCACGCACGCACGCACGCACGCACGCACGCACGCACGCACACACACACACACACACATGCACACACACACACACACACACACACACACGCACGCACGCACGCACGCACGCACACACACACACACACACACACACACACACACGCACGCACGCACGCACGCACGCACACACACACACACACACATGCACACACACACACACACACACACGCACGAACACACACACACACACACACACACACACACACACACACGCACGCACGCACGCACGCACGCACGCACGCACACACACACACACATGCACACACACACACACACGCACGAACACACACACACACACACACACGCACGCACACACGCACGCACGCACACACGCACGCACGCACGCACACACACACACACACACACACACACACACGCACGCACGCACGCACACACACACACATGCACACACACACACACACGCACGCACACACACACACACGCACACACACACATGCACACACACACACACGCACACACACACGCACGCACACACACACACGCGCGCACGCACACACACACATGCACACACACACACACACACACACACACACACACACCCGCCCGCACGCACGCACGCACACACACACACACGCACACACACACACACACACACACACAGAAAGTTCATTATCTCCACCCAGAGTTTGTATAAACTCACCAGGCAGAGGTGGGAGTTAGATTTGTGTCTTAGGTGTGATGATGGTGTGTGTGTGTGTGTGTGTGTGTGTGTGTGTGGGGGGGGGGGTGGGTCAGTTGGTTGCCCCTAATCCTCCACTTCTATTGTTTTACTGCAGGAGGAAACAAGTCATTGAGGCAGTGAGCCTCTGATTTATCACCCTGTTGTTCCTTCAGACGGTCTGTTTAATGAGGCGGAAGGATGCAGGATCTGATCAGGGTCCAGTGTCCACTCTGTCACAGCCCAGGAGCAGCAGCAACTTTGGTGAAGGATTCATCCAGATGAACTCAGGCTGGCTGTGTGTATATGTGTGTGTGTTGGTGGTGGACACTGGCCCTGTGGGACAGCCAGACATCTCCATCATGCAGTCCTGTCCCTGGTCCCCCTTCGACCTTTGTCCTCCTCTGTCCATCAGCATCTGATGTCAAACAGCAGCTTCACTGAATGAAGCCTTCCAGGCAGACATATCTGGGTCCTCGTAGGTCCCTGTAGGTTTCTATAGGTCTCTGGGTCCTCGTAGGTCCCTGTAGGTTTCAACAGGTCTCTGGGTCCTCGTAGGTCCCTGTAGGTTTCTACAGGTCTCTGGGTCTTTGTAGGTCCCTGTAAGTTTCTATAGGTCTCTGGGTCTTTGCAGGTCCCTGTAGGTTTCTACAGGTCTCTGGGTCTTTATAGGTCCCTGTAGGTTTCTACTGGTCTCTGGGTCTTTGCAGGTCCCTGGTTTCTATAGGTCTCTGGGTCGTCGTAGGTCCCTGTAGGTTTCTACTGGTCTCTGGGTCCTCATAGGTCTCTGTAGGTTTCAACAGGTCTCTGGGTCCTCGTAGGTCCCTGTAGGTTTCAACAGGTCTCTGGGTCTTTGCAGGTCCCTGTAGGTTTCAACAGGTCTCTGGGTCTTTATAGGTCCCTGTAGGTTTCTACAGGTCTCTGGGTCTTTGCAGGTCCCTGTAGGTTTCTACAGGTCTCTGGGTCCTCGTAGGTCCCTGTAGGTTTCTACAGGTCTCTGGGTCTTTGCAGGTCCCTGTGGGTTTCTACAGGTCTCTGGGTCTTTGCAGGTCCCTGTAGGTTTCTACAGGTCTCTGGGTCTTTGCAGGTCCCTGTAGGTTTCTACAGGTCCATCCTTGTCAGGCATCAGGCTAAATGTGACCTCCATTGACCTGAGGTTTAGGCAGCTAATGTATCTGTGACATGATTCTGCAGGTCTAATTATAGCAAAGCCAAAACCACACACACACACACACACACACACACACACACACACACACACACACACACACACACACACACACACACACACACACACACACACACACGCACACACACACACACACACACACACACACACACACACACACACACGCACGCACGTGTGTGTGTGTGTGTGTGTGTGTGTGACTCTAACCCTAACCCTGTCTTTCTATCACAGTGAGGACCCTCCATTGACTTCCTTTCATTGTTGGGACTCCACTATGCCTAACCCATGCCCAACCCTACCCAGTGCCGATCTTCTCCTAACCCCAACCTTA